ATAATAAAATATAGTACAAGAATCTTTTTTGGATGTTCTATAAAATAGTATCTGAACTCAACTTAATAAAAATTACTAATCAAGAAGATCTTCTTTAAAAAAAAAAAAAAATTTACATACCTTGCTACAGTATAAGCTGCTACACTATCTATAACAAAACATGCAATTTTAATGCTATTAGACTCTAGTTCATTATAGATATTCTCTATTTGGCTCATAACTTCTACAGTATAGCTATGATCTACACTAATATCACAGGCTCCCCAAATTAAAAATTTACCTGCTGATGTAATTATAACAATTCCTAACAAGTTTTGTGCTCTAATATTAGTCTAACCATCCATCAATAGTGTAACTATAATATATTTATCAGTAGCTTTTTCAATTAATTCATCTTAAACACATGATACTTTATTATTTAAAATTGTTTCTACAAGATTTTGACAAGTAGAAAGTTTAATATTTGGATTTAAAAGGTAAATACAGCTTGTAATTCAGAATTTTCACTTGTACAAAATGCCATTTCTGTTAATATTGTAGTATGTAACCAAAGCTCATTAAACTTTTTTTTTGATCATTCATATTATAAACAATAAATTAATCTAATAGTTTAATTTTATTTGAAACAATTGCATTTCTTGTTAAATTTGAGTTGGATTTTTTAGATAAAATTCCTATATTAGTTGCTATGACAATTTCAGAATTTTAGAATTTGTTCAGTTTAAAATATCTTTTTGTTCTTTTAAAGTATATGTATTTTTAAAATATTTACATTGTTTTAAATTCGATTTTACACATTTAGCAGTATTTGTAAATTTTTGATTGTCAGAATATTCTTCTTCAAGTATAGCAATAGAGTAAATACATCAATATAAATAATTAAAACCATTAGGTTTTTCAGGATAAATTTTTACAAATTCAGATAAAAGATGCACATTTTTTTTGTTTTACCCATTATATATCTACTAATAAAGTTAAGCAAATTTAAATTATATATATATAGTAATATACTAAATATAAAATTAATAATTCTTTTTACACTTACCACATAGTAATTTATAAATCTATATTTTATTTCTACTTCCTCTTACACATATCTCTAATATATTCAATACCTCTAATCAGCCAAATATTGAATCTAATTTAATTAATCCTCTACATAAAATTGAAACATGATATACCTACTTTTGTAAAAAATTTTGATTAATTTAATAAAGATAAGAGCAAGGTCTTACTATTAATATTAAAAAAATAAAAATAAAAATTTATAAATTAATATTGTATATGTTTATACATCTTTTTGCTTTATTTTATTTTTTTATCAACTTTTTAGCTTACTCTTGGCTAATATTTACATATGCAATTTTGATATTGTATCATAAAACAATACTTATTGAAGTATTATTCTTTATACGAAAATTAAGAATTTTAATCTTATAGAATGAACTTTCTACATATTTAATTGCTATATATATAATTATGTCATATTTATGTAATATTAATGGATAGGATTTACCCATACTACCGGTAGTACAATGTACTACCGGTAGTACAGTTTTAAAGCTAATTATTTACTAATATAGCAAATTAATAAACTATTAAATCTTTGTATAAAGTGTCTT